CACACATTTGGTGTGCAGTTGTTAAAAATGAATGCACATAGATCAATCTGGTCCAAATGAATGATAAAGCATCTCTTACTTAAAATAATCATCATGAATATTGTCATGATAGCTCAAGCAGTTCATTAGCGCATAAGTTCAATTATATCTGGTTTGATGTTTTATGAACTACCAGGGGCTGCAGGTGTGGTGTGGTTTGCGTTCTGGCTGTACCTGGCCTACGAATCGCCTCGTAAGCACAAGACCATCAGTCCCGACGAACTGAAACTCATTGAGGCTAGGCAGGGAGAGGCAGCTGTTATTTACGAGGTGCCATCCATCAATTATTACGTCATACCTCATTAATCTCAGTAATTTTTAGATTTCACTAATTAATTGAATGTTGCCATTTGAGAGTATTGTCCTATCAATATTTTTACCTCGTTTCTAACAATAATATTTCCACTTTTTTTGATACCTTTTGTCAACTAAAAGTTATTTTTATGGGATTTTACAATTAATAAATGATTGAACGAATAGATAAATAAATGAATAACTAAGAACTTGTGCATGTGATTCAGGAGAGTCCAGTGCCATGGAAAGCCATCTTCTCCTCCCTGCCAGTGTACTCCTTGATCATCTGCAACTTCGCACGGAGCAGCATCTTCTACATGCTCCTCACCAACCAGCCCACATACTTCCATCTTTTTGAGTTCTCTTTCGTTGAGGTCAGTCAGCTTTTTTTTCTACGTTGCTTGCTTGCTGTGTATGTGTTTTTGTTATGTGTCAGATCGAATTGGGGCAGTGGTGTGATGTTGTGTGTGGACGAGCGTGCAGGTTTACATGATAGCCATCCATCCATCTCAAGAGTTTCATAGTTCATTCATTATTGTTATGCGAAGCACACTAGCAGTAAGGAAGTAGCGGCAAGATTGATTGAGTGGATATTTTTTATTGTTGTTTTTGATGGTGCTGCAATAAAAATTGTGATATAATTAGAGAGATTTATACGGCGCCCTTCAATACTCTTCAAAGGCAAAATGATAGTTCAGTGCTATTATTTTTTGTATATATTGCATATATGTTTAATTTTGCTCTAACTTTAGAATGGATTGTTTTCATCACTACCCCACGCTTTCATGGCTCTCTTCTGCATCATAAGTGGCAGTCTAGCCGACCTCCTACTCAACAGACCCAACGTCACTGCTACCTTTGTCAGGAAGTTATTTACTGGAATAGGTTGGTCGGTCGGTTGATTGACTGATTGATTGATTTAGGTGTTGATCGATTGTTCTGTTGGTTAACTGGTTTGTTGCTTGATTGGTTGGCTGTTTGACTGACCGGCTTATCTGGCTGACTGCTTGGTTAGTTGGCTAGTGATCTGGCTGGCTGGCTGGCTGGCTGGCTGGCTGGTTGACTGGCTGGCTGGTTGGTTGGCTGGTTGGTTGGTTGGCTGGCTGGCTGACTGGTTAATTGGCTGGTTGGTTGGCTGGCCGGCTGGTTAGTTGGTTGGTTGGCTGGTTGTTTGTTGTAAAAGTCCGTGATGATTTCCTGACGTAGATTGTTCAGTGTTGTCAGTCGTTATTGACGTGTATTAATTACTTCCTGGCAGGGTTTGGCGTGGAGGGGTTGTTATTTTATGCACTGGCCATAGTGGATGGCAAGGTGGCAGCCGTCACAGTCCTCACTATTGCTGTCGGCATAAGTGGACTTGCGATATCCGGTAAATGATTTTAAAAATTTAGCTGCTGCTGCTGATTAGTGCTAATGGATTTACTATTGAAAACAATTGATATCTATCGAGTTCGATTTCATTCACGTAATTATAAACGTTATGGGATTAAAGTTAAATTTTCATTTTGCTATCTTCAGTGTTCATAGATGTTCACAAGTTTGTTATTCTAATTTTTATCTGAGTTCTCTTTGTGACCAATTTTTTCAGGTTGGCAGATCAATCACCTGGACATCGCACCTCGATATGCCGGCATCTTGGTGGCCATAACCATGACCTTTGGAACGTTAGCCGGCGTCATCAATCCTCTCATTGTGGCCTACATGACTGAAGATCAATCTCTCGCAAGTTGGCACAACGTATTCTGGATGACGGGATCCATTCTTCTCTTTGCCACCTTATTCTACGTTATTTTTGGCTCCGGTTTGTTGTTTATTCTTTAACAAATATTTACTATTTTTAAAGTACCGACGCTTATTTATTTATTAATTTCATCTATGATTTTGTTTTCCTGTTCCAACTGTCAAGTGAAGAGTTTGCTGTCCACCGTCTGCCAGTGAGCTACTGGCTGGTCATTCTGTCAAAGTTCTAAATTGTATAACTTTATGAAATTATATTTGCAATTGTTTAATCCATTAATATATGAAAGATTTAAATTTTGAGACTTTGATGCTGTTGATCAGGCGAGAGGCAGTCGTGGTCGTCGCCGAGCCCCCCCACGATGAGGGTCATCAACAGCAACGACTTCACAGAGAACAACAACAGACCCTACGGCACGTTTGCCGCCCAGGCGGTCTTTGACGGTGCAATAATATCAGACCCCGCCATGCTCGATAATGTACAGAATGCCAATCTCAACGACGCTAATAACAATGACAACAATAATGATAATAATAATAATAATAACGACGGGGAAGCTGTCAAAGAACTGAAAAGAAGGAGTATTTCAAGAAGTGGGGACGTCTGATTGATGATTGGACGAGCAAATTTTAACGATAGGGCAATGGTCTGAATGATGGCTTTTAAATGGCCTTTATCGATTGTCGTTTAATCCTCAAATTATTTTAGTTGTTTGGTAATTTGCTTCAATAGTATTATAGGCTGGTTTGTTTGTTGGTTATTAGATTTAATTGACGAGAGTTTGTCTTGTTTATGAGCTAACATGCCAAAAGATACAACTCTATGATAAGTAATTATTCTGAATAACTTGGTTCATCGAACTTCTTATATATTAATATCTGCTTATTTGTTTCTTTCATATACGCACATGAATACCCGTAGACTCACTTGTTTAATCGTTCATTAACTTATTTTCATTCATTCATTTATTAATTAATTAATTAATTAATTAATTAATTTGTTAATTTATTTATTTACGTATTTATTTATTCATTATCAGCTTATTACAATCTCTAACCAGGTTGAACTTTTTCATCTGACCATCATTTTATTAAAAAAAACATTTTGTTTTCTGCTAAAATCGAATCTAAAATTGAATCTAATGGTAACATTTTTTATAACTTTTGTTTACGTCATTCCAGATTTGTTTTTCCCCTCTATCTTAAAAATGTCTCATTTCAGTTATTTATTTTACAAAACATCTGCAATGGTTTCATTTTTCAACGCCACATTACATCAAAATTTTCACCACTCATTTCTTCTAACAGATTAAATTTTGATTTGTCCCGTAAACTTGTTTCAGGTAATGAAGCCAACATGTACATCTTTGTTCATAACATAATTCAAAAGTCTTCAACACACATGTGTCTTGTTGTCTTACGTTGTAAACATTCCTCAAAATTTGGCTACCCTTTTTAAAACACACTCTAACCTTATTTACATGCGTCTCACATTTCCTCCACACAGCCTCAACATTTGACTTCAACAGTGCGGTAGTATAGAAGTTCGATTCCATTTTTAATGAAACTTCACCGTACAGCTGTTCACCAACTGTCTCGATCATGCATAGTTGATGGATCTTTCCACCCGATCCGAAGGACATCTCGTTTTACAGTATGAAAAAACATCACCATCTCGCGTCGTCAAATTTCTCCTCTCACCTGAACAGCAATGAATTTCGTTCTTTCCCATTTCTACTGTCTACCACGAACTTTCTACTCTCTGATTGAGCATCTGTTTTCTACGGCGTGACATCCACATTAACGTGACAACCACCTCACTACTCCAACCACATCTCCCAACTTTATTGCTACTCCCTTCTTTCACTCCATTCCATAATTTTTCCTTCATGTGTATTATCATAGATTATATGTGTGTGTGTGTGTTTGTGTGTGTGTGTTTGTGTCTGCTGATTTGCATTTGTTAGTTTATTCTTGATCTCTTCATTTGTTCAGTTTTGGGAGCTAGTCAATAAAAGTGCGTAATAAATAAATTAATAAATTGATAGGTGACATTGACCTTGTCTTTTTTTTATTCAATTGCAGCAGAACATTTATTTTATTTGCTGTTCAATGTTGTTTACTGGCTCTATATGAAATATTTAATTTTTGTTTGACTTCATTTGATTCTTTCAATCGTTTTGTGTATTTTTTGGAAAATTTCCCTTTCTTGTCATACATTAATATATAAGTTTCGGAACAAATTTATAGATTAAATAAGCATTTTTTCATAAACACATTCGTTGAAATTTTTATATAAATTCACGTGTGTGTTTAAAACACGAAGACGCATATGTTACTTGTTTCTTGGTCCAATGTTTTTGCAAGTGTTATGACTAACAACACAGCATGCACTGGTAATTTGTGCTGGTAAATTTTTGCATCATTTGTTGTGTTGTTAGAGGATTTAAATTATTGAAGTATTTTTTTTTTGATTATCCGTAAGCGTATTTTGCTCTAGTAACAACTTTTTAGCGACCTGAATATTTGGATCATTTTGTTGCTGTCGAACTATTTTGCTGGTTCGCATTCTCGTGAATGTACTTAATGCGTATATAATAAAAGCATCGTAATGAAATTGGTGGTCGGCTATATTTCATCTTGGTCACTGTTATCTTGATAGTAGTGCTTCTCAACCTGAATTGCATTTTCATCCAATTTGTTTATGAGGTTCATATATTTTTAATTACCAACTTGCTAGGAAATAATAATTGTGTTTTATTTAATTCATTTAAATTCACTTGAAGTTTTAATGTATATAATCGATATGCGTTTGTCACGAGTATAACTAATTTATTAATCAATTCATTAAATTTACTTTCTTACGTACAAATTCATATTTTTTGCATTATTCATCTGTTCTTACGCATGTCATCATTAACTACGTCTTCGCATTCTATGAATTTAGTTCGCTTCATGGTAAACTTATTGAACGGTTAAACTTCACCAGCGTCATCAAAAAAACCTCATCTCTCTTCTTGGGGGCGAGCTACAAAACCTCAAACGTTCTTTTTTGCTAATATTGTCTTCAGCTTGCATGCATTCAAACAAATACAGTTAGGCTCTTGTACATATGTTTTTTGTTCCATAATTATTTCATTTTTACTTTCAATAGTTATAATATGCGTCTAATAGATGTAACCAATTAATTTACCAATTGAAACACTGCTGATTCGAGTGCAATACGTTAAATTCCTATTAGTATGTGCAGAATTGCAACATTGAATGAATTTTTCAAAACTTTCCCTAGATTCCCCTTATTAACATTATTTGCATGCTGTATCATATTTTGATATATCTGCAGTTTGGGAAAACTTGAGTAAACATGTTTATTTGTTTATTTTGTAAACATTTTTTATTTGAGACCGCTATCAAATGAATTGAGTGGATACGTAATTTAATTATGCATCATCTTTCGTACATCTAACAACGGAGGAAAATAGTACTAGACCATGTTCTTATTGATCGTTAACGAATGCGCAGGTTTGTCGTTTTTGATTGAGGCCAAACTTATCCTTCTAAATATTTTGTGTAGCGCCAAGTTCGTATCTACATTCAGTTTGCACGAAATCATGTCTCACCTCCAAGAACCATGCAGTTCAGTCCAGAGACGACCTGCCTTCGGAGTTCTTCATTTCAACATGCAACTCGGCTCAGTCATTCAAGGTGCCTGCGCATCCTGAAAGTCATGAAGTGTCCTGGAGTTGGGTCACATTTTTTCAATTCCTGAAAAGTCTTATAGTTTGATTTTGGTCATTAAAGTCTTGGAAAATTAATTAAAAAAATCATGTAATATTTTTAAAAAGTTACGGAAAAATTTTACAACGCTTTATGGCCATTTGCTTGTTTAACACGCGTTAATAACAAGTGCACGCGTATATATTTAAATGTGGTTGTTCCGCATAAATGCGCCTTGCTGGTTGTAACGGAAAATATTATTTTAAACATTGAGAGAAAGCGTTAAATTTTTCGAGATTTATAGAATAAGGCTTTTAATTTCAAGGCTTTGTTTGTTAAATGACAATGATTAGTAGAAAGTAGGTGCAATTTTCTGAACGCTGGAATTGATGAGCACAGAGATTGGTTGGCACGTGTGGCCACCACAAACTGGCACAAACAAAACGCGTCAGAAATGTGCATGAGATTTGATATTTTTTATAATACCTTAAGTTGCATTTGACTATCAAGTTAGAGCTATGAACGAATGAAAGGAACAACGGAATAACATCGCATGGCATGCTTCATTGCAACTCAATTTAATGAAATTTTGAGGAAAGTTTTATAAAACATCTTCATTCATCAACTTATGCATAGAAATTGTGTTAGCCGGCAATAACTACTATAAAATGCTGTCATACTATTCTTGCTTCTTGTAAAATTACACCATTCATTCAAGTCAAGAAAAGTCATAAAAGTTTGTCTTCATTGGTCCGGGGAAGATTATGGAAATTTATTTCTTCCTACTGCATACATCCTGAATCATTTTAATTTATTCCGTCTCGACGAGCTTCTTAAACCAGTGTTTACAAAACCTTTTCCTCGTAAATGTCTCCAAATGGGTTACAATCTTTTTTCGTAGATGTTTCCAAGTTCCTTCCAAGAACTGGTTCGAATTATTATTATATAATATTAGTCATTTAATGTGGTGGGGTTGCTACTGGTTCAGTCTGTTGGGAGGATTCTATTTGAAAGAGAATCTTCATAAAACAACGCACGATGCAATGTTACGTTTTGTAAAACAAAACTCGAATTATTATTCGGTGGACTTTTTCATAGTATGAGTGCGTGCAATTTTTTTTAAATGGCTTCTGAAATTATTTAGATAAAATTTTCAGGTTAATGTTATTTTACAAAGGTTTCAAACAAAACATTTTACAAATATATCCAACAATTTCAAAAAAAAAATTTAAATTGCACCTAATGTAAATCACATTCACCTGGGACGGCATCATTTAAAAAAAAAATTTTTAATTTCGTTGTGTGTCGTGAGAGTGGATGTTGATCATCTGCCATCATCTCGCACGGTGAACTGTTTCGCGACTCGTCTGCAAACGTTTCACCTGCGTAATCTGACTGATAAAGTGATCTTTACTTTATTTTTAATTAAAATTAAAATTGTAACTTTTTGATAAGTTTTAGGCAAGTTGTGATATTTCTGGTTGAATATGGTTGTCAAACTCGTGTTATCAAATTTGAAAATTTTTAATGTGAACTGTTAGTTGACATCTGAATTTTGAGATGTGGCAGTTCTTAATTGAGTCAATGTGGTTGTTGTTAGCGCAGTTCACATGCATTTCAGTTAGGCGTTGTCTATTTAGTCATATCCAATTAAGTTAATCGCCATTTAAACAATATATTATAAAATTTGTATATATTCGTACAAATTTGTTTGGTGGTAAAATTAAAATGACATAATATGGTATAGTATTTTATGACATTTGCTTCCTAAATAAATAATTGACAACATTAAGTGTGACCAAATGCGTGCACATGCGAGTAATCGTGTGTGTGCGTCTGTATCTGAGGGGTAGCAGTGTGCTGTGCTGTGCTGTGATGTGGTGGGCATGACAACGAATGTTGCCATCGTCACCATCGTCTCATTTAATTAAACATCTGAAACGAAGTAATTAAAGACAGTTCAAGATGATACTGAGGTGTGTATGTCTGTATGTTTGTCTGCGTCTGTGTGTGTGTGTCTTTGTGTAGTGTATTTGTATGTGTTTATGTTTATTGATGTGTATGTTTTTTTTTGCATTTTTGTCATTTTAAATTTTGTTGCAGGCATGCACATGTTTGATTGTTGGTGTTTGACTTGAGTTCATGAAAGTTGACCAGTCGTTTACATGTTCTCAGGTTTGTGTTATTTTGTGCAAGAAATAAAAAGGTGTGATTTTTTTTCAATTTTTGTCCATCTTTTCCGATCAGTGACACGTCGTTTGTACGCCAGATCATCTTCTCTCCATCTACCGGTCGCCCAACTGCGCGTCATATATCACTGCGTGGAGATATATTCGTGTGTGGAAATATATCGATGCTATTATATAAATGGGAGTGTATGAACGAGATTTCATCATTTCGAACAGATGAAATATAAATGTTTTGTTTCGATACGATATAAACTCTTGTCTTTAGAAGTACATCGCACATTATTGAGTGACTCACACATTTCAAACATTTCCTTCCTTCCAACACTTGAACGACCAACAATTAATTTGGACACGTCACAAACTTCAGTTCAACTGCTAACTTGCTTGCGCGAAACAAACGAACGGCAGAAATGGAGGACTTTCCGTTTCAGATTCCTACAGCCACAGCAACACCAACCCCATCCAACACAGCTCCAATCGTCCCGCTCTACATGACCTCCGAGGAACTCTCTCAGTACGATGGAACGAATGGGAGGCCCATCTACATCTGCCTGCTCGGAAACGTCTATGACGTCACCACGGCTGGCAATTTCTACCAACCCGGTTTGTTTTAATAAGTCATTCATGAGATCATTTTTAAAATGTTGACGTTGATTTCAGTGGGTGGGAGTGAGGCTGTTTTAAACGTTTTAAATAAAGTTAACAGGACACCCTCTGTTGACTTTACTTGTTTGTGTTGGTTGTTGTGGCCATCAATCTTTCAACACGTCCTCTTCTTCCTCATTTCAGTGCGACAAACAAACTCGTTTTGTCGTTCATTGTTCTCTAATTTTAAATAATTGCCTATCAAGCCAACAACGAGACACAATGTAGAGGAAGCTATCATAAATTGAATGCACACGTGTGCACAAGAATTGCTTACATTGCGTATCTTACAAGTGCAGTACGCACGTGTTGCTGTTCTTGTGTTAGAAAACTACAATGTATTTTTATAATTTTTCTCTTTTTATTTTAACATTAGAGAACGTTAATTAACATTTTGATGACTGAACACGAATGAACATTAAAAGGTGTGAACATTGATGAATATTATGATGAGTGAACATGGGTAAACATTTAGTAAGTGAATATTATTAAGAAGCATTAAGATGGGTAAACATTAGTGAACATTAAGTGAGTGAACATTAATTAATATTTTGATGAGTGAACATGAATGAACATTAAGATGAGTGAACATTAATGAAGATTAAAATGCATGAACATTAATGAATATTACAATGAGCAGTAAACATTAGTGAACATTAAGTGAGTAAACATTAAGGAACATTTTAATGAGTGAACATTAGTGAACATAGCTACTGAACACCATGTGACAATATAGGTGGCCCGTACAGCGGCTTCTCTGGAAAAGATGCCACACTTGGACTGGCGACGTTCAACCTCTCGCAGACGAGGAGAAGGAAAAAGAAGGAGGATGAAGACGACGACGCTCAGATTGCTCAGACGGGCGACTACACGCTGCTCTCACAGAAGCACATGGAGAATGCTCAAAAGTGGAAGCGGCTTTTTGATCGTTAGCCGCATTTAAATTTGAATGATGATGATGATGGTGATTGTAATGATGATGATGATGGTGATTGTAATGATGATGAAGACAAGACAATAGTGGTAGAAAAGTATATACTAATAATGTGGGCAGCTGAGTTGACTGGAGATGAGAGTGGTGATGATAATGAAAACTGTGGGATAATTGTATGAATCGTCACAGGAATAATAATAATAACTGTAACGATAATAAAAAAAAAACTGTTGTTGGGTCTAAAATGGTGATGTTTAATCATTATCATTGTTTTGATGGTTTGGTTTGAATATCTTTTTATATTGCTGATGATGAAGAAGCAATTGCATTTGCTATCAAAATAATTTGTAACCGCACAAATAGGCAAAAAATTTTCACAAGCTAAATAGCAAATCAATTTATTGGATCTATTTAACCACTAATTCCGTAACATATTTTCATGTTTCATTGCACTTTTCAGCAATCCTAGCAGTTGTTAGATCAATTAATACAGCATCAACAATCATTTTAAATGATGTGGATTGTTGAAATTTGACAGAAAAATATCCAATGGTCGGTTACCTGATGAAGTCTTCAGCACCATCCAACCCCGCAGTTTCAGCAGCAGAAGTTCATGTTGGTGCTGGGGCCAGACCTCAGACCCAACCACCCCCGCAGAATAAAAACACATCTCAACAAAATCAACAACAACAAAACAAAGATTTCAACAACAAGCCAAAGAAAAGTAGTGATGATGATGATAACTTCCTCAGTGTCGTCCCAAGACCAAAGTCAGACAACTCTGGCGACAGAGGGCTAGAGAAAAGAAATCAGAAATCCACTTTTTGCTGCGTAATTTAAAAAAAAGTTGAAAGATTCGACGCTGTCATCTTTGCAATTGAAAGAAAGTTTAATTTCTGCTGCCATTTGATTTCTTTTTTTGTTTGCCACGCATATTTATTTTAATTTATTAAATTTTTAAATATTAAAATTTTAAATAAGATTATTTCGTAAAATTGTTTAGCCCAGCGCCGTAAAATTATTAGAAAATTACTGTAAATATTTTTATCAGTGAAACAAATTTATAAATAAAGTGATACTAAATTAATAAATTCCAGTATTTAGTATACTGTTACTAAAATTATTTAATTTTGTTGTTCGATAATGAGTTAATGGATTTTATGGAAAGTAACAGGAGATGCAAATGATCACCAAGAAGAGCATTTCATTAGAAAAATTAATTTTTATAAACCTGAACTCACTTTACCCAACCGACTGTTGCAAAAATATAAGGTTATCGTTTGGCCAATACATCTCTTTACAGCTGCCGTATGTTTAAAGTGTGATCGTGTGTATTGTGTATTTGCCGTTAGTCGAAGGTAAGTCGCTGAATTATTCCTCTATTAGACGCCGCCTAATGAAACTCGGCTAGTCGAATTTTCAGCCAAAATGTTTTTGTTAGTTAGTTAAAACTCCTGAAAAATTCGGCAGATAGGTTTAGTTTTTACATACCCATAGTAACAAACTATATTGCAAGTTTACACCTACTCACTGTTGAATCACAATGACCCATGACCCAAACCACGATCCATTAACACTGTCTGTCTGCCACAACTTTATCAAAAAAAACCAAGTCTTTTTGAACTTAATGGATAATTATTTTTTGCATTTTTGGACATTTGTATCGGGTAGTCTATCAACAATCACATGAATTGTGTCCGCCAAAATCAGTCGCTCAGTCAGTCAATCATACTCAATCAGTCGGCTAATCACATCATTTTTTTCAGTTTTGTTTCAAGAACATTTGGCGAAAATTCACGAAATTATGAATAATTGGTTTTGTAGATCTTAATTGAATGTTCAAACTTGTTTTTAAGAACGAGCAAATTAAATTATGACAACATAGTTAAAAATTATATTTGCAAAACTCTTTTAAAACATTGTAAATTTGTAATGAGATGTGACGTGGAAGATAAAATAGATAAATAGATACGGACATAAATCGTTCCATTTATAATGAAAAACAAATTTTAACTCAATGTAAACAAAACTATACACCACTAAAGTTGTTTACAGAACTAATAGAAAGAGAGTTGTTTTTTCAAATTGTTAACGGTTTCAATGAATGAGTATTGCTAATGTGTAGCATTTAAATGATCCTGGCGAATGATTTGACTTGTCTGGTGTTGTCTGCACTAGAAGAACATACTAACTACACGAATGCCTAGCAGACGTTATAAACGTCTCAAATTTAAATAAGTAGCGACAGAGGTCTGCTAGCAAAGTAACAAGGACATGCTACCGCCACATCACACGCGGCTGGCGTCAAAGTTCAATTTTGCGGTCGAAAAAATTTAATTAACATATTTTTTCGCCATTCAATCATAAACACTTGATTTGAAATCATAATTTAAAAAATTTTTCAAGCAGATCTTTGTATATTTGCCACTATTTTCTTGTCTAAGCTCATTAAAAAAATTTCTTTAAAAAACTTTTACCAATATTTTATTTCACATGGTTTTATGAACAGACATTTGATAGATGGATTTTAAATTAGTCTCTTAATTTAAAAAAATAAAGCTATTTGGTTTCGTATTACAAAAATATTCAAACCAATTTATAATCAATTAAAATCATTTAAACTAAACATTGGTCTAAATTGATGTAAAGAATGGAGTGATTTCTAAAATATTTTTAAAATCAACTTGCATGTATGTAATTTGTTGATATATATTCACACAATCGTTTTAAATTAATTAATTTAATTTTAATTTAGTGTAAAAATGATTATATGTAAAATAAATTTAACTATCATCATCCTATTCTCATATGATAATTTCTTCTTGCTGTCCTCCAGTTCTTCTCCTTGTATTTCACTCCTCTCTGCGTTTGTTCCATCTGGCATTATCTCTTCCTGTGTAGCAAGATGCATGCATTTTTAATTGCATGGTTAATTAGCAGCTACCATTTATATTAAGTGACATTTGCATGATTAATCAACTGAAATTCTGAAGAAAAAAAAAATTAAAGTCCAGAAGATATTTGATTGGAAGTTGAATATTGTAACTTTTAACAAGTTTATTAAGCAAACATTGATAACCAGGATTGTTAACAACACTTGAAAAATGTATCGTCAAATACTTTTCAAACGTAGCTAAGTGAATGCGAAACTATTATTACATCCAGGAAGATGCATTCGTTGGTTAGTTCATATATAACATGAAAATGATTGCGTAGCGATAGATTGTTTAGATCATCAAATTTAAAGCAATATTGGTGGTACCTAGTTCGATACTAAGCAAAGACATCAGAAATATTGTCTATACAATATCAGTGATAGCGATATTTCGATATTAACAACCCTGATCGTCACGTACGTCATCACATACGTCATCACGTACGTCATCACGTACGTCATCACGTACGTCACCACATACGTCATCTTTCATTCATACGTATTTAACATTTATCTAATAAAATTCAAAATTTGCACTCACTAATTTTTTTGTTCCTGTTAAGGTTGTTATTGTTGTTGTTGTTGATGATGTTGTTGTTGATGTTGTTGTTGTTGTTATTGCGGTTGCTGTTACTCACACGATATTTTTCAAATGAAAAATTATTTTTGCTGTTGTCGTAATTGTTGTTGTTGTTGGGAAATAAGTTGTTGTTCGCGTTGTTTCTTTGATGGAAGTTTTTGTGTGGATTAGTTCTGTTGTAATAATGATTGCCGTTGTCGTTTTGGTTGTTGTTGTAATTGTTGTTAAAATAGTTGTTGTTGTTATGAGTGCTAATACTGGAAAATGACTGTTTGTTGTTTTTATTTGCCTCATTTCTCATGTTGTTATCAATATTTTGTCCTTGTTTCCTGCCATAACTAGGAAGAAATTTGTTATTAATGTTTTTGTTAATGTTGTAGTTATTGTTGTTGGTGTTGTAGTTATTGTTGTTGGTGTTGTAGTTATTGTTGTTGATGTTGTTGTTGTTGTTGAGATTGTTGTTGCGGTCAATGTTGCACTGAGCACTTCCCTTGCAACTTTTCAGTTGTTTGAGTTGCGTGTGGAAGTTTTGCAGTGTTTCGTGGTTCAGTGAGAATATCGTGTTCTTCAGCTGACTCGTTTGATTTTATGGGTGTTGGTTGGAAAATAAAAAAAAGTAATTTTAATATTTTATGCTGATGTATGTTTAAAAATACAAATAATTTTTAATGTTAATTCAAATGCGGCAACCAGTTTGTAGTATGAAATCTAACCCAACAAACGACCAGTGCAGTGTTATTAGAGAAAAATAAAATAATTAGAATAGAATTAAATAATAGAATAGAAAAATAAATAAATAATTAAAAAAACTGAAACTCTGAAAAGATTCCATCTACAGTACTACATTTTTAGAAACTTAACACCTTCCATGCCGGCCACTATTCCACAATTTTCACACTCCTCACAATCCCACACCTTTCACAATCCCACACCTTTCACAATCCCACACCTCCCGCAATCCCACACTCCACAATCCTACACCTCTCACAATCCTACACCTCCTCACAATCCAACACTCCTCAATCCCACACCTCTCACAATCCCACACTTCCAACAATCCCACACTTCCCACAATCCCACATCTCTCACAATCCCACACCTACCACAATCCCACACTCCTCAATCCCACACCTACCACAATCCCACAATCCCACACCTGAAAAGGATCGAGGTTGAGGTCGTAGTAGCTCCTGAAGCCCGTGATGAACTCGCAATAGAGGATGTTGTGCGTCTTGTTGATGGTCCTCATGCACCAGTACGTGTTGTTGTTCGAGTTACAGCAAGCGCAGAACGGACCATCTAGTGGCGGCAGTCGTTACGAAATGATTATTTGCTCTTGTTTTTTTTACATTCAACAAATTTATTGTGTAGAAATGTTTTTATCAAATCCTTTATTATTTGAATTATTTTAAAAATGAATATTAATAATAAAAATTATTTAATTATTTTTTAAAATAATTTGAGTTTTATTAATTACTTAATAATTTGAAGCTATTTAATTAAATAAACTTTTGAATGGTGAAGACGAAAATACCAGGCAAAGAAAGCCAACCGACCTTTCCATTTGGGCTCAGTCCTCCAGTGCAGCTCATCCATCCTGAAACATTCGACTCCAGCCACGGAGCACATGGGGTCCTTGCGGGCGGGAAAGTTTTGCCAATCGTGACGGTACCACCAATCATACGCGTCTGTTGCTGGGCATCGTTGAAGTGGTAGGGTGGTTGGGTGGTTGTTTTGTTTATGTTGTTGTTGTTGTTGTTGTCGTTGGTGGTGGTGTTTTTGGTTTTTGTCTATTAGGCATATTAAGACATAACAAAAGTTGATGTAAGAAACAGCGTAGAAATATCATGGTGATCATCATTTTTTAAAAGTAACATAACAGTGATGTAACTCAATGCAACTCACTATTTTCATGCATCTGGGTGTGGTGGTTGCTGCAAAAAAAAATTCATTTTTATATTAATGTAATATGATCTACACCATACACACTGGTTTCACTGCAAATATTTTAATGATTGTTTATTATTATTATAAATATTATTATCAATACTACTACTACTGTTGTTGTTGTTGTTGTTATCACTAATGCAAATATGGTGATAAAACTGGACGTTATCAATACAACTATTATTTTAGTTGCCACCAATTTGATTGTAGTGACCACAAATTTGATTGTAGTGGCCACAAATTTGATTGTAGTGGCCACAAATTTGATTGTAGTGGCCACAAATTTGATTGTAGTGGCCACATAATTTATGCTCAAATTTTGTTACATTTATATGAAACATCGAGAATATTAATAACATTATTATACTCACATTCATCATCATCGTTATCATCATCGTCATTATCGTAGCATAAGAAATTTTGTATTTGCGTTTGCAATAGAGGCCAACTTACCTCCCGTAAGTTTCAGCATCGTCGTCATCATCGAATCCTTCATCATCATCATCTTCCTCCTCTTCGTCATCATCATCGTCGTCGTCTTTCGTCCCAATCAAAACCCCCCTCTACGTTCTGAAGTGGTGAGCTGGTCATTCTTTTGGTGGGTTTGTTCCTCCGCAGAACTTTTTTCAAAAACTGATGTTTTAATTCGTTCGTGTGTTTAGTGTTTTTAATAATTATTTTTGACCAGCAATCAAGTCAGACACAACAAATTATACATAACAAACCAGCCAGACACAACATACCAGACACATCAGACCAGACATGAGACATAACAGACCAGTCACAACATTCCAGACACAACAAACCAGACACATCATATCAGTCACAGCATACCAGTCACAACAATACAAACCAGACACAACATACTAGTCACAACAGGCCAGACAAAACAAACCAGTCACAACATACCAGACATAACATGCCTAAATAAATCAGACACTACAACTCAGACTCAACCAACAAGACACAACAAACCAGACAAACCAAACCAGACATGCCGAACAGTTACAACGAATCAAGGCAACAAGTCCGATACTTTCAATCTATTGATTTCTTGTTGGTAAGCTTGAATTAATCTGTCAATGGATTCCCTCTGTTTCGTCCACAGATCGTCCTCGCTGAATACAAGTTCTTTGCATTCTAATTTGCTGTTGTTGTTGCTGCTGATGTTGTTGCTGCTGATGTTGTTGCTGCTGCTGTTGTTGTTGTTGCTCATATTGTTATAGTTGTTGCTACTGATGTTGTTATTGTAGACTATTCTACAAGGCAACTCATGTCCCTGCATTATTTCTGAAAAAGAAATTTGTTTGTGAAAACATTTTAGTCAGTAATATTATTTTACTGAAGTTCATTGTGCATGTCACCATCCGTGTAGATTATTGTAATTGATAATTATTGATCATAGAACCAATTTATAATATTAATTAACAATAGACAAAATCCAAAGCAGGTAATAACTCACCATCTCCATAAGACACCCACTCATCATTATCATCGTCGTCGTCATCATTATCATCATTGGCAGTGGTATCATCATCATCATCGCCATCTATGTTGTAAATATACGCTGCCGAAATGTTAGAAGCGAACGATCGTGAAGATGGCGATGATGATGATGATGATGAAAACGAGTTCAAGGAAGATGATGGTAATGACGGGGAAATTGTTGATGTGGAAGTAGTCCGGTGATCAGCTGATCTTTTCATCTTGCAGTTTTTGAATTGTAACTTTCCTTCAGATGTTCTTTCACATTTCAATTGCTGGTGGGATTAGGGTTGATTGATTGGTCAATTGATTGTGATTGATTGGTCAGTTGAGTGTAATTGATTGGTCAGTTGATTGTGACTGATTGGTTAGTTGAGTGTAATTGATTGATTAGTTGATTGTGATTGATTAGTCAGTAGATTGTGATCGATTGGTCAGTTGATTGTGATTGATTAGTCAGTTGATTGTGATTGATTGGTCAGTCGAGTGTAATTGATTGGTCAGTTGATTGTGATTGATTGGTGATCGATTGATCTGTTGATTGTGATCGATAGGTCAGTCGAGTGTGATCAATTGGTCATTTGATTGTGATTGATTGGTCAGTTGATTGTGATTGATTGGTAAGTTGATTGTGATTGATTGGTCAGTTGATTGTGATTGATTGGTAAGATGATTGTGATTGATTGGTAAGATGATTGTGATTGATTGGTCAGTTGATTGTGATTGATTGGTAAGATGATTGTGATTGATTGGTCAGTTGATTGTGATTGATTGGTTAGTTGATTGTGATTGATTGGTCAGTCGAGTGTAATTGATTGGTCAGTTTATTGTGATCGATAGGTCAGTCGAGTGTGATTGATTTATTTGTTTGCTAACTAACTATCAACTCAATAATTGATTGTTGCAAATTAAAATATTATGATTGATTGACATGTTGATTGATTTATATATCTTATGAATAATCTTCGACGAGCAAAAATATTCCTCAATAATCTCTCTCGTTTAATCCCATTGAAGCAACTTCCATAGGATATAACGTGCATTAGCTTCAAAGAAAGCATCCACTTCTAAATTAATTTTATTTTCAAAATTTATACAAATATTGTAATTCATCGACTCGTGGATATTTTCATCTCCATATTACACACACGTACACACATGTACACACACGTACACACATGTACACACGTACACACGTACACATGCACGTACACTCATTGCACGACGTCATGAAGCAAACAACTCGTCTTCAAATATGAAAACAAAGTAAAACAAACCAAACGACTTAAACAGAAGAAGGAGCATGAACAACATAAACAACATAAACAATGTGAACAGGTGAATGTAAACAAAGTGAAGAAGTAGCATGCCTGCTCCTGTCTGCATGGATTCTGATACTTCGGTTTTTTGCATTCTTTTTCCATATGGCTATCGTTACTAGCAACTATATTGTGTTTATTGTTGTTGTTATTGTGGTTGTTGTTATTTTTGTTGTAGTTGTTGTTAGATATTTTTTTGTTATTGTTGTTTATGTCGTTGTTGTAAATGTTATGAACGTGATGATTATTTACTGCAACGTTTCGTTTGTTGGAGTTTTTATTTTTTTGTTTCTTCAGAATGTTCATGATGTTTCTGACGTCGTTGCTCGTGATGTTGTCCAGGTTGATGTTGTTGTTGTACAGGGCCTCCAACTTCTCGGCCAACAACAATCTCTTGTTGGTCAGTTTCCTGTTTATGACGTGCAATCAAAATTATTTACTAAATACTAAACTCTGTGTTTTGAAATCGTAAATCGTTGACAGTTTGAACGCAGCAAAAATTTTAAATCGTTACTAAGTCGGCAAACTTTTGGCCTATCTTTTTCGGTTATAAAATTTAAAATAATCATAATCATCATCTTTGTTTTTGTTGTTGTTGTTTTATCAGAATCATCATTGCCAATCAAAATTATTCTCATCACCAACTTCGTCATCATCATCATCGTCACTTTTACGCAAGTTAATATTTACAGCCATAAATCATTTAAGAAAGACTATCAAAAGAGCGAAGATAGCAGATAGATCATAAACAACAACGCAATGCGGAGTAACTTGGAAGTAACCTGAAAACAAAACTTAACCAACTGCAACGAAACAAAAAACAGTAGCACGAATCAAATGACAAAACTGCTGAGACTACCCTCTCTCAATGAGGAAAGTATCTCTCCAGGTCTCAGAAACACCATCGCCCATCCTGCTTCCGCTGCTTCCTTCCCTCTTGATGACTGGATAGAAGGAGATCCCGTCCATGTTTGAGGGGGGGTCCAACCCCGCGATGTCCAGCAAAGTAGGGGCGATGTCGATGTTTAGAACTATGTGAGGCAGCCTGCAATCGTTCAGTTGATGAAAACGTCTCATTGACCCAAACCAGATTCGACATCTTCAATCAATCAATCAAATAATGTCATCAGCCAATCGTACAATGTCTTCAAATATGTATGAATGTATTAATCGGATATTTATTGTTCTTGCCTTATAAGTTAGTTAGAAATCAAGCAAATAGCGTGTTTCACGTTTGCTCACATCATTAAACCGGCACTCTGACGTGTTTGATGCTTACTCACATTTTTATTGGCTTCTGCTTTTTGTTTTTTTTTTTTCAACTACAAAAGTTTTTATGGATTTGGTGAGAAAAAGTTATAAAGTCAATATAAAATCATAATTTTGGTTTTTTTTGTAATTGTGTAACGTCTTCGCGCGAACATTTAAAAATATCCTTACGTGGTGTTTTTTGGCACCTTTGGTCCCCTGATTACAAATGGGACTTTAACGTCAAACTCGTACGGCATGGCTTTTCCTTTGGTCATTCCAAACTGCCCCAAGTGGTACCCGTGGTCAGAGGTGAAGATGATGAAGGTTCTGTCTAGCTGGTCCAACCTCACTAACATTTCCATGATCTGTTTGTTCATTAATATTCCTTTATGTTATCAATGTCACCAAAGATTATTTATTTTAAATATTTTTATATTCGTCGTCATCATCACTGACGTTAAATTGCTTCTATCGTAACCATCGTCAACATTATTTTCATTATTATTATTATTATTATTATTATTATTATTTCTCGCGTCGTGTAACCCTGTCAGTCATTTTATGGATTAAAATAAAAGTTGACACGCATAAAACAAGTACTTGTGATTAAATGAAAAACTGAAATACATTTTTGTCATGCTGGTTGTTGTATCTGTTGTTGTATCTAATGTTGTATTTGTTGCTGTATCTATGTTATATCTGTAGTTATACCATCTTTTGTATCTGTTGTTATATGATATATTATGCCTGTTGTTGTATTGGTTGTTTTATCTTTAAAGTATGTTCCAATAGCTGTTGGTTGTGTTGTTTGTGATAACAACAATAACTAAACTTATGTTGAGTTTAGCGCGATGCAAGGTTAGACTAAGAAGAAGTATGCATGCAACATTCATTGAGGTTGATCAAAACTGCTACATGCAGTGCCAGGATTAATATCATTAATGGTTTTTATAATGACGTCAACGCCAAAAGCCATCATAAAAGTGATGATTGTAGGAATGATAGTTGTAGCTAATGAAAATAAAATATGTAATCACTGAAGCTGAAAACGCTGGCCTCCAAACGATGGTCAGCGAATAACTAACACAATATTTAATCATTTACATTACCGATATCACGTTAATCGCTGGTCTATCATTTTTAACGTCACTCTGAATCACGACATGAAATTAATAGATCGTATCTCATAATACTCTCAGTATCAAGATACCATCCACTCTCAGTATCAAGATACCATCCAGTTTGAAATATATTCAATCACATCATCATCATTATCATTTTCATTAAAACATCATCATCAACGTCGTCATTAATGTTCCAGTACTTGAAGTTATAATTATAATTGTTTATTTGGTTGTAATTAATAGTTCACAAATTCATGACCAACAATTATTAAAACAAAAGATTTAACAACAGATACAACAACAGATACAACAACCGATACAACAAAAGACACAACAAAAGATACAGCAACGGATACAACAACAGATACAAATATGCGAGTGCGTAAGTTGTTTTCAAGATTATTACTGCGTTGTGCTATTTTGTTTTTAATTTTGTTGTTTTTATAACTTTGCAAACCTACCATTCAGTTGCTTACATTGTGTAGTGTCTTATCAGTATAAAAATGTGATTTATCATTAATTTTTTGTTTTAGGTATGGGAAGCTTCTGTTTTTTTTTGGTTTCGAGAGGATTTATTAGGTTGTGCTATGACAGCATATAGCCTGACTATAGCATCATCACATTAAATTTAACATCATATCATCAACAACATCATCACATTAAATAGAACATCATATCGTCAACAACATTAACAACATCATCACATTAAATTTAATATCATATCATCAACAACATCATTGCATAAAATTTACCATCATATTGTCAACAACCCCATCACATTATCCCTCATAATATCATCATCATCATCACAACAACATCACATTATTACCTGCAGAGTCCACAACATCAATAATTACATTAATTCCTATCATCATCATCATTAGTATGATCGCATAATCCAGGCTTACATCATTCCAACCAATTGTACCCCGACAATTTTTATAACATTTGCAGAGCTAAATCTTCGTGACGACACATCATCGTCATATCTCCTCACAATCATCACTTCATCATCCTCATCATCATCATCTTCTATAACACAGACACTGAGTCACCATCTACCACCTCATCATTATCACATCACATTATGACATCATCATTACATCATCCTTACATCATCATGACATCATCCTTACATCATCATGACATCATCCTTACATCATCATGACATCATCATGACGTCATCATGACGTCATCATTACATCATCATTACATCATCATTACATCATCATGACATCATCATGACGTCATCATGACATCATCATGACGTCATCATTACATCATCATTACATCAACATGACATCATCATGACGTCATCATTACATCACTATTACATCATCATGACATCATCATGACGTCATCATGACATCATCATGACGTCATCATTACATCATCAT